GGGGCCTTCTAGGTGCCCGGTTCCAGCACCATAAAAGCCAAACACATGTAGCCACGCCTCTGTCTTGGTGTTGGCCCCGCCAGTCGTGGAAATCGGCAGCACAAGAACCAGACTGGCCTGGAGCCATACCGGCCAGACCTCATCCCCAGGGCCGGGTGGCCGTCTGCTGGGTCAAGGACCAGCAGGGGTCAGTGGGCCTGGCTGTGTGGCCCGGGTGAGTCTCACCCACTCAGACCCATTCCCTACCGCAGCTAACATTCCCTGCTGGGTGGCTGGGGAGGGGGGAATGAGGACAGGACAGCCCCCTGCTCCTGGGTATGGTCTCAGGCAGGCCACCCCCTCCCCAGCCTGGTAGACACGCCATCTGCCTCCCAGGAGCTGCGGGGTGGGAGTGTGGGGGGTCCCACAGCTGCTGTTCTTGGCAGGAGAGACAGGGGTCACACGAGGACAGGCACATTCTCAAGAGGAAGGCCTTGGGGGACCGTCTAGGAATTCAGGGAACCTGGGGGAAGGGAGGTGATCTGTCAGGCTTCAGGATGGGCCAGGTGGGGGCCAAGGACCCCCAAGTCTGATCCAGTGAAACCTCCCTCCATGAGCTGTTCAGACAAGCTCAACTCAGGGGCTCCTGGCCACCACTGGACATTCATAGGGACAAGGTTTGGCTGGGGCACAAGTGCCAAGGGGCCAGGATGGGGCGAGGCCAGCTGGCTTACATCAGGGTGGGCTTCCTGGAGGCGGTGAGGGCAAGGGCACTGCTGGACAAGGGACCACAGAGGCTGAGCCCAGGGCCATGGTCCACCTGAGAGGATGAGGGGGCATCCGGGCTCTGGAATGCTGGGCTGACGTGGGCCACTGGCCCAAATGTGTTCTGGGTAGATGGACATGGTGCTGGAGGGCAGGCAGGTCTTCAGGTGGTGGGAGGGGAGGATGGAGGGCAGTGTGTCAGAGGTCGGCATGGCTACTCCAGTGGGTAGTGCCCACCCAGCTGCAGGGAGCTGGCCACACTGGCATCTGTGACTGTGTCCTGGAGTCGTGCAGACCACGATCTGTGTGGACGGGCCAGGCATACCTGCGGGGCAGCTAGACCAGGTCCTGTCCACTCTGAGCCCCATTTCCCATCTGTCTATGGCTGTGTGAAGGTCCAGAGTTGGAGAGCAGACAGCACCTTAGGGTCTGCACTGCCTCAGCCCCCTGTGCTCAGGCCCGGGATGGCTGGGAGCAGCACCCCAACCCCCCATCCCTCTGCCAGCTGAGCCCCCTCCTCACCCCTGCAGCTCCCGAGGACACCCTGCTGGTCAGGGCCATGGGAGCACAGCGAGTTTTTAAGTTGAAAGGAGAAGAATGCAGACAGTGGACTGGTGACTTCAGAGCTGGGCAGGGGTGGGGCCGTCAATCCCCCAAGTAAACAGAGCGGCCTGCAGCCCCTCCCTGATGGGGTGAGTCACCCCCAGTGGGAAGAGGACCAGAGAGAGGCCGCTCCCACCACCACCCATCCAGCCCCTTAAAGCCACAGGCCCGACGAGCCTCTGATGTCCGCAGACTGGGCCCCCCCGCCCCCGAGCGCTCAGGGCCTCAGTGCACTGGCACATGAAATGGGTCACCAGGGCAGCTGAGGGCAACCTATTCCGTGGACGTGGTTAGGAGGCAAAAGGGCGGCGAGCTGAGGCTCTGTGGTGTGGGGACAGCTGGATGCTGGACCCCTCACTCACTGACTCACTCAGGATGCAGGGGCCTCATCCCAGCAGGTTACCCTGGATGTGGGGTCAATCAGCTCCCTATCCACATGGAGTGAACAGTGGAGCGGGGGGTGGTCTCTGTTGGTGTCCTGGGTCCCCCATAACAGCCCTGTTCTGCCCTGGATGGAGACTTGGAGTCAGCTCAGCCCCGTTAGGCCATGCCCCCTGTTGTTTTCAGCTCTGTCCTGCTCTCACCGGCCTGTGGTGAGACACTTAGGAAGTTCATTAGGAAGGTGGACAGAGCGGTGGGCCCACATGGTCACTCTCCCACCAGGGCTCCCCACGGACACCTCTCCTATGGGCTCTTTCTGTGTGTCTTCAGTGACTTCTGGAGAGACTGCATTTGAAAGGCAGGTGCTCTGGGCTGTGGGTTCAGACCTCAGCGAGTGATGAGCGAGGCAGGGAGAGGGGAGCCTGGAGTCCAGCTGAGGAGAAGAGCCCGAGGGAGAGGCCTCCCCGAGGCCACTGTCGCCGTCCTCCTGCTGGGAAGTGGGGGAATGAACCTCAGGTTTGGGGCCGCAGGTGGGGAGACATGCCTGGCTCAGCCCTCACCTCCAGGTGGGCTGGTGGGGTGGGACTTTGCTGACACATTCGCCCTCTGAGTGAGCCCCCAGGTGCTGGGGTGGGGGTCATGGACGAAGCAGCTCACGCCCTAGCAGAAACCCCGTGCAAGACTCACTGGGCGTGGGGAGGCTGGCCCCAGGAGGACACTCTGGGCATAGTGCAGGGGTACCACGCAGGCTTCATCACAGAGCTCATGGAGGTCAGCAGGGGCCCTGTCTCCAGACAGGCCCTGACCACCCCAAGTCAAAAGGCCTTTGATTCAAGCTGACCGCAGTGGTCTGGGTCCCCAGTGGCTGCCCAGTGAGGCAGCTCTTCTTTCGCACCCCAGGACTCTAGCTCCAGCTTAATGGACACACAGGAATGTGGGGAGCCCCAGGACAGAGGGAGGGCGCTGAGGAAGGAAGCAAGCAGCATGGGTCCAAACCCCGCTGTCCTTTCTGACTGTCAGTCAGTCTCCATGCTTTTTAAAACAGAAGCACTTCCCTCAGTCTAGAGGGGTTAGTAACAATGTATCCATGTGATCCCTGCATTGTAACTAATGTGGGGAGGAAAAGCCAGTGTTACTACTAGAAGCTACTGTTGCTGTGCTGGGGTTGACTGACTCCTAACTGACCCTCCGGTTTTCAGAGGCTGTAAATCTGTAAATATCGGGTCCATCTTTCTTTGGGGAGCAGCTGGTGGATTCAAACTTGTGTCTCTGAGTTGACAGAGCAGCTCCTTCCCTTCTGAGCCACCAGAGGTCTCGGAGAAATGCATGAACTCTCTGTAGGTGCACTTGGTGTAAATGTGCCTGTACCAGTAGCCACCCGGGGGGGCCCAGCTCCTGACAAGGCAACCTGTGGGCGTCGGGCAGGACTGGGGTTTTGGAAGGTGGACCAACCAAGCCTTTGTCACCGATGGTGGACTCAAACCCCCAGCCTCTCAGTGAGCACCTGCAGACCAGGGCGCTTCAGGGGACATACACCCCCCTGAAAATAAAGTCAACTTCCCCCAATTTTCTTGCTTTTCTTTTTCTTTACCCTGGAATCAGATCCGACTGGCACAGGAGGAGATCGCCCCTCCTTCTCCAGTGGAGCATCTGTTGGATTTGAACTGTGTGCCTTTGGTATTGCAGTGCAGCTTCTTGCCACTAGACCACCCGAGCTCCCTTTAAAGGGAACTTTTAAAAAGCAGGCAGTAACCCCTCCCGGGATGCACCCCAGGACAGGGGGCCATGGCGGGTGGGGAGAGAGTGTCCACACCAGCCACTACTTGGAGAAACCCCTCCTCAGGGGGGTTGAGGGCACCCGCTGGACAGGTAGCACCTCCGTCGCATTCACACCCAGCTCCCATGGCCTCCTCTCCATTCTAAGTGTGGAGGCCCAGAGCGGCCAGGGGTTTGTGCAGCTGGACAGAGGCCGGATGGCCTGGTGGTGACTCCTGGCCCAGTGCTCACCAGGGCGGGAGCCACTCATGGGCCACACCGGGCGGGATGGGTTCCAGACAGCGTCAGCCCCTGGGGGACCCGGGCGGCCTTGGCACACGCCCGGCCTGGGGCCTCCCGACACTCACGTGCTCTGGGCCTGAAGTGCTGGCGGCCACGCGTGCTGACCGAGCAGAAATCTGAGCCCAGGATTCGGGGGAGTTCATGACCCGCCTGTGAAGGCCTCCTGGGACACAGCCAAGTCAGACTCAGATGTGGGTCCTGGGACCCAGAAGTCAGCAGCCAGGGATGCAGAGGCCTCACTGTGGCCAGGCGGGAGGCTGGGCAGGGGAGGCCCAGGGCCCTCCCACCTTGGGTCTCGTCCACACAGGCCTGGGGCCCAGTGGGCCAGTTCTTTCAGGCACAGTGTTGATGCTGATGTGATGCTGTTGCTGGTGGTGTTAACTGTTGGTGTTGTTGATGTGATGCTATTGCTGATGCTGTGACTGTCATTACCTGGGGTAAAGTCAACTCTGACCCCATATCCAGCCCACCGAGGCCGCTGCCCAGTCTGCACCATGCTAACAGCTGCTGGTCCTCTCAGCCCACGCCTGTGTCCATGGCGTCCTTGACCTGTCTTCTCACTGAGGGGCTGGTCTTCCAGTACCGTATGGGACGGTCTGTTGTGATCCCCGGCCATTCCATTGTCTAGCTGCCGTGAGCTTGCCTGCCCTTTCTTCCTTGTCTTAGCCTGGAAGCTCAGTGGAAGCCTGTCCACTGTGGGCACTTTGTGGGTGTTTGAAATGTTGCTGGCAGGGCTTCCAGCTTCACAGCCATGTGCCAGGCACTGCAGTGTGGTGACAGATGGGTGGAGGCTGGCGCCTGGGGTCTGAAACTGTCCCAGCCCAGCTGTGTGGCCCCAGGAGGGGGTGGGGTGGGGGGAGGAGGGATAACCTCCCTGAGCCCCCAGGCTGGCCTGGCATTGCCCAGCGAGGTGATGTGTCCAGTGCCCACTTCAAGTGTGATTCCCCGGGGGCTCGGCAGCCGGAAACGGGCTGTGCACCACTATGTGCCTGGGGTCAGCCCCTCCTCCTGCAGGCTGGGGGGCGCCCCAGGGACGGTGCTGCCCTGGGAATGGTGCTGCCCTGGGGACGGTGCTGCCCTGGGGACGGTGCTGCCCTGGGAATGGTGCTGCCCTGGGGACGGTGCTGCCCTGGGGACGGTGCTGCCCTGGGGATGGTGCTGCCCTGGGAATGGTGCTGCCCTCAGTAATGTGCCCGGTTCTTCTGCCAGTGCAGGTCTCCGCCAGCTGAGCAGCCCGCGGTACAAGTTCAACTTCATCGCTGACGTGGTGGAGAAGATTGCCCCGGCGGTGGTCCACATCGAGCTCTTCCTGAGGTGCGGGAGCCCCGCTCACCCGTCAGTGTCCCTGTGTCCCTGGCACCTCTGTCCCTCTGTGGATCCCTGTGTCTGCCAATGTCCCCCTGTACCCAGCATCTCTGCCCCTCTGTGGGTCCTCATGTCCCTCTCAATGTCCCCCTGTCCTCAGCATCTCTGCTTTTCTCTGGGTCCCTGTGTCCCTAATGTCTCCATGTCCCCAGCGTCTCTGCCCCTCTGTGGGTCCCTGTGTCCCAGCATCTCTGTTCCTCTCAATGCCCCCATGCCCCTGACATCTCTGCACCCTCAGTGTCCCCATGTCCCCAGCAGCTCTGCCCCTCTGTGGGTCCTCATGTCCCTCTCAATGTCCCCCTGTCCTCAGCATCTCTGCTCTTCTGTGGGTCCCCGTGTCCCTCAATGTCCCCATGTCCCCAGCAGCTCTGCCCCTCTGTGGGTCCTCCTGGCGTCTCTGCTGTCTGTGGGCGCAGCCTCAGTGTGGGGTCAGCCAGTGTTGTTCTAATCTCCCTGCTGACCAGGAGCCGCCAGGAAGCCCCATCCCCATTTGAACTTGTCTAAGGATGTTAGAGAGGGTCCGGCCCCCACACTGCACATGCTCTGTTAGCAAGATGGAGTCACCGTCCACTGAGCCTCTCTTCTGTTTCTGGTCCCGAAGGGCCTGTGGTCACTGCAGACTTTAGAGTGACCCCTCAGGAGATGAGACCGCAGACAGGGGTGACTGGGCACAGGGGCTGTGGTCACTGCAGACTTTAGAGGGGCTGTGATAGCCACGGGTGAATGAGTGACCCCTCAGGAAATGAAATCATAGGCATGAGAGATGAAATAGGACCACAGGCAAGGGTCCAGGTGGACAGGATTATGGGGTTCAGGGCTCCACCCCACTGAGATGCTTGCTTTGGGTCAGAGATCCTGGGAGTTAAGGATGGAATTGTGGTGAGGTCCAGCTCTGGCCATGGTGCTCTGGCGTGCATGCTCCATGGGTAAGGGGCAGAGAGGATTCCAGTGACTGACCAGGTTGGTCTCCTCACCTGGACCCGGCTGGATTGTGTGACATCAGAGGCAGGGGCTGTCCACACAGATTCTCCACTCCCTTCCTGTCCCACTGCCCACCTGCAGACCTGGTCCTGAGCAGACGTTCTTTCTGCTCTGTCCAAGAGTGAGGGAGGCAGAGAGGGAGGGAAGAAGTGAATGAATGATTGAGTGAGTGAGAGAATGACTGACTGACTGAGTGAATAAAGGAAAAAAATGAATGAATGAGGGAGGGAGGGAGGGAGGGAGGGAGAGATGACCCGGCCCCTGTGGGAATCTCACCTGCAGCTCTGCTTGGTGGAGGATGGGGATGCCTTGTCCAGGAGAGGCCCCAGGACAGCTGCTCGAGGGCCCCTTCCCTCCCTTCACCAGCAGCCCCCCTGTGCCCCCCACCCTTGTCACTCTTGCTTATTTCCTCAGTCCGCAAATGCAGTTTGTGAGGGGGTGGTTTTGTTAGTCCCATTTTCCAGATGAGAACACTGAGTCCCAGAATGCTTGTGGGGCTCACAGCTGCTAGGTGCCCAGGTGGGGGGTGTGACCCTAGGTCTCTGTGACCCCTGAGTGAGCCCATCCCTCTACACTTTGCTGGCTGCCTCCCTTATTCTCCCTGAGGGCCCAGACTCCAAGCTGTGTCACTGAGGAAATTACAGGGCAAGTGGTGACACAGCCCAACCTCTGTGACCTGTTTCCAGGGAGTGGTACTCTCAGGGTGCAACCAGTGACCTGGCTGTGGGTCTTATTACCTGCCTGTCAGCTCAGGGACAGCACGACGTGGGTGGGTGAGATTCCAGATACTGACAAGATGTCATTAAGTTCCATGGCCTCCGGCTGTGACCGGCCTGGCCCTGGGAGCAGGCTGCCTGGGGCCCCGAGTCCTGTGTGTGTTTTCCTGGCGCAAGGGCACACGGGGCTGGTGAGCCTGGAGGGACGGAGCAGTGCTCCCTTCCCGGAGCGTGAGTGGCCTGCAGGGCACCCCTGCTGCCACAGGCCCTCAGACTCGGAGAGGACTTGACCCCGTGCACCCAGGGCTGCCCCTCCTGTCCATGGGGAGACACTTCAGCCCTCCAGGATTTTTCTCCTTGCCCCACAACAAGCCCCACTGCCCTGGCCTCTGTTCCAGCTCCTGGCCTCCCGTCAGGGTTCTGAGACTGGACGCCTTCAGGGGAGGAGTCTGCCCGTCCTCTCAGAGCTGCTGGTAGACTCAAACCGCTGACCTTTCATTGGTTGTGTGTCCTAGGAGCTGACTCATAGCTGGCCCTGCAGGGGGCTCTTGGAGCCTGTAAATACCCCCAAGAGGACTGCCCGTCCTTCTCCCAGGGTGGCTTTGAACCGTCTTCCTCTGGGTTGGCAGTGAAGCTCCTTGTCTTCCAGGCCATGAGAGCAGCCTCACCTTCAGGGCTCCGTCCGTACACGCCGTGGGCCCCCTTCTCCCTCTTCTCTGACGAGCAGTATCAGGCCAGGTGCTTGGTCCCCGGGCTGCCCCTGGGAGGTCAAGGCCCTCCCTTCCCCAGGTGGGGGCAGTAGTTCCAGCTTGGGGACTGAGGTGAGGACGGCGAGTGGCACTATTACAGTGTTGACGTCAGCCCCAGCTCAGTACATCAGCCACTGAGTCTTGGTCAGGGTCACTTCTGCGTACCTGCCTGTCCTCTGTGCCTGGTCCCCTGGGAGACCCTGTGTCCACCGGTCCTGCCTTGTGTGTCTTGTGAGGCAGCTGGCACGCGTCCTGCTGACCGCGGCTGGCCCTGTGCAGTCACCACGTGACACAGGAGGCAGGCAGTGTAGGCCCATTTCCCAGATGGGGAAACTGAGGCTCTGGGAGGGTAGGCACCTACAGGAGTGAGGGAGGGGGCTAGATGGCCATTTTCTGTTTGCCAAGCTCAGGGCCACGGCAGGGACAGCTGGAGGTCAGATGTCCTCCTTCAGCCTGTGTGTAGGTCCCCTGCTCAGCGGTCAGCTGAGGTCCTGACCCCCACGACCCTGGAGCGGCCTGCCACACCCAGCCCCACCATGGTCACTCGTCGCCCTCTTTTCCACAGACACCCACTGTTTGGTCGGAACGTGCCCTTGTCCAGTGGCTCCGGCTTCATCATGTCCGAGGCTGGCCTGATTGTCACCAATGCCCACGTGGTGACCAGCTCCAGTGCTGTCTCTGGCCGGCAGCAGCTGAAGGTACAGCTGCAGGATGGGGACAGTTACGAGGCCACCATCAAGGACATCGACAAGAAGTCGGACATCGCCACCATCAAGATCCACCCCAAGGTGAGTGGGTGCCGGAGACTGGGCTGCAGAAATCGGGGAAACTGACGCCCAGGCACCCAAGGCGAGTGGGCATCCGGAGGTGGACCCCGTGGACACCTGGGAGACCGAGGCCAGGTGTCTGGGGTCCCGTGTCCCTGCACCTGGCACACCTGTTGGTCACCAAGCAGGGGCCTTTCGCCCCACACAGGGTTCTGGACCTGTACTGGACACCCCAGAGTGCTGGCAGCAGCTGCAGAGGGAGCACCTGTCCCCCCAACCATTGACCTCGGCTGATCCGTCCCCTCTAGCTGAGCACACAGAGCTGCCCGTGGACCATGACCCCGGCCACCATGACCCCAGCCACATGACCCCGGCCACCATGACCCCGGCCACCATGACCCCGGCCACACCACCAGCTGCTTCTAGAAGGCTGGGCTAAGCTAGGCACCATGTCCACACCACAGTCCGACGAAGGAGGCTGTCATTAGCCTGGTCTTTCAAATGGAGAAACTGAGGCTCAAAGAGGGAGGTGACCCTGATCAGTCACAGCTGGTCAGGGACAGGACTGGGTCTGCCTGACCACTCAGTGTCCACTTGTCTGGGCCTCCAGCTTGCTTCTGGCTGCGTCCAGTGTTGCCTGTATATTTGTAATGAGTACATGTTGGATGACTAGCCAAAAGGTTAAAAGTTCAAATCCACCATCTGCTCCAGAGGAGAAAGATGAGGCCGTCTGCTCCCATAAAGGTTTACAGCCTCTGGGAGCCGACGGAGCACCACCAGAGGCAGCAGCAGCCGGGCAGCCGGGAGTTACATTGTGAGCTGAGTGGACGTTTGTAAGGCAGGCTGGTTCTCTGTGCACCACACCTGCTCAGGCGGCTGTGTGACACTGATTACGCCACCCACAGGGTGACGCTGTCCCCTTCCTGTGATCCCCCTAATCCCTCCATCCTGCCCTTGCAGAAGAGCAAGGGTGTCATTTCCAGACTCAGTGTGCCTGGGGCTCGTCCGCAGCAGCTCTGTCCCTCACGAGGACAGGTGGCCCCTGCTCCGGATAAACAGGGTCTGCGAGTTTGTGGGGTCCAGCTCCAGCATGCCCGGGGGCAGAGCGGGGCTGGGTCACCTCTCAGGGCTCCTGGGGTGGCAGGTCAGGGGAGCCAGCGGCCACCTGTGGTCACGGGGGCTGAGAGACATGTAGGGCTCAGAGCCCAGCGTCTGCAGGCTGGGAGGGGAACCCCCCCCAAAGTGCCTCATCCACATGTTAAACTGAGCAGGGGGAACCAAGTCTGAGCGCAGCTGCCAGGTGGCCACATGCGGAGATTAAGACATCACCAAGGAGCCTCCACAGGACAGGCAGGGCAGCCAGGAGACAGGCCACAATGTGGCCAGGTCACACCAACAGGTGTGCAGAGACCCTCCCGGCTGCCCTTCTGGGCCCTGAGGAGGCCCCTCGGTGCGTGGACCCTCCTGGCTGCCCTCTCAGTGTGTGGACTCTCCCGGCTGCCCCCTCAGTGTGTGGACCCTCCCGGCTGCCCCCTCAGTGTGTGGACCCTCCCGGCTACCCCCTCAGTGTGTGGACCCTCCCGGCTGCCCCACTGGTCCCTGAAGAGGCCCCTCAGTGCGTGGACCCTCCTGGCTGCCCTCTCAGTGTGTGGACTCTCCCGGCTGCCCCCTCAGCGTGTGGACCCTCCCGGCTGCCCCACTGGTCCCTGAAGAGGCCCCTCAGTGCGTGGACCCTCCCAGCTGCCCTGCTGGTCCCTGAGGAGGCTCCTCAGTGCATAGACCTTCCCGGCTGCCCTGCCTGTCCTGCGGAGGCTCCTTGGTGATGTCTTAATCTCCAGCTGCTGTAACAGAAACACTGCTGGTGGTGGTTTTGAGGGTCAGGGGTGAGTCGCCCCAGTTCTGGAGGCTGGCATGTGAGCTTAGGGCATTGGTGCTGGGACGGACCCTTGTTAGTAATCCTGGTCCTTTGTCAGTTGTCCTTGGCCCTTGGCTGGAGAAGACCCTCGTATAGCAGCCCCTTCCTCCTGGGCTGTACCCACCTTCCTCTCTAGTAAGACAGCACAGGAGCAGAGTCCAGGACCTCTGTTCTGGGGTGGTGAGGTGTCCTCACCTGACCAAGGCCTTGGAAGTGCCCTCCTGAGCATGTGTGGCCTAGTGCGTAACTTCAGGCAGCAGCCCAAAGCCTGGTGCTTGGAATCCACGAGCCACTCTTGGGCAGAGAAAAGGGCAGGGTCCTCTTGGAAAGATCTGTAGCCTTGGACCCCGGATGAGGACCACCACGTGAAAGTTGGGCCGTGAAGGAGGATGTTCAATAATGCAACACCTTTTGATATTTGGGTCTTGATGCTGGTGGAGGTCTTTGTATTGGTGGAGGTCTTGGCATTGGTGGAGGTCTCAGCATTGGTGGAGGTCTCGGTGTTGGTGGACGTCCCAGTGTTGGTGGGGGTCTTGGTGGTGAAGGTCTCGGTGTTGGTGGAGGTTTCAACGTTGGTAGAGGTCCCGGCATTGGTGGAGGTCTTGGCATTGGTGGAGGTCTCACCATTGGTGGAGGTCTCGGCATTGGTGGAGGTCCCGGTGTTGGTGGAGGTCTTGGTGTTG